ATATATATATATATATATATATATATATATATATATATATATATATATATATATATATATGATATAATCCAGTGATAAATAAATTTCTGATAATTATAATGATAATATTTAATGAAATAGAACAACAGTATATTCACATTTACACAGTAGCGAACACATGGTTCGTTCAGCAGTTTCTTTGACTGTTATTTCATCTAAGCCACATCAAGATATGGCGCTTGCAAGGCTCTATTTCTCTTTCAAACATCCGCAAAGACATCATAAAAATTGAAATTATACAACGCAAAGACCTTAGTACACTAAATATACAATCTGGAACTTCAGTGAGTCGAGTGGAAAATAAAACGAATCCTCCTATTGAAAGCTCGAGGTCGTGCTCGAAGAGACGCATTTATAATTTACACCTTTACATTTTTTGTACAAGTTTTAATTACGTCAGGCAGTTGACCCAACAAAAAATGTTTCATACATAATTATGTAGAATCAAATTATATATAATTTTACATTATTATATATAATTATGTATGAAATATGTCCATATATGTTAATACATATTACTTATATATATAATCATTGTATAATTATATCTATAATTTTATATATAATTTTACATAATTATGCATATTATTATATGTAATTATACATATGATTATACATAACTGTATAATTATATATAATTTTATATGATTATATATAATTATATATAATTATGTATGGACAAATTTTATATATAATTATGTATGAAAAATTTTTCACCGAGGAGATATCTTGTTGTGTGAATCGTTTAATTAAATTATTCGAATATTAAAGACTACATGTTTACAATTGTACAATGTGAAAATCTGAAATCGCTTTAATGGTTTCTGTACGACAGTGTCTAAAACTATTTAAATCCGTGGTTCTCTTTTTTCTCTTCATCGATCTTGCTTCGCCGCTGTTCCGCTGCGTTTTAGGAAATCCTCGCCGGGGACTCGATGGAATTTCATTGTGATTACAACGTTCTGTCGCAACGTTGATGTTCGCGGCGCGGGATTCATGTGCGACACTCCGCGATTATGAGGCAGAATATTCGTATATTTTATTATCGCGATTTCGGCACGATTCTCGTATAAACAAATCGAATGCCTCGATTACGAGCATCGCCCTCGTATGTGTAAAATGCGCGTCCTGCGGGATGTATAGAAAAATGCCCTTGTATATCTATTTTACTTAAACGCGAAATGTCCCGGGGAAGAAGGTGTACAACGGCGAAAGAATTCCAATTTCGGAGGCATGCAGAATCGGTTTTTCCTCAGCGAAATTTCACCCGAGGCAATACACCGCTCGTCACATTCCAATTTAATTCGTTTCATTTCATACACTAAGCTGATTGTATCGACGAGTCAATATACAAGTAAGGACAAATTTTCAGTCGTGCGATTTCGTCGGATATAATAGAATTTAACTCGCAATTATAGCACTTGGAGGTTTCATTCAATAGCTTCTGCTGTTGTTATATTTATAGGTATTCTCCGGATACAATAGGAAGTTTCTCTCACACATGTCCTTCTCAAAATAACAAGTTTATTATATATATGTATATGTATAGTATTCGCGAGGCTCCGTTAAAATCTTAATAAATCTGAGAGAATGGAAAGATAAAATTTCTTTATTTAATAACTGGTCATAATATTTTACGCATATATATGTTATGTATATATGTATAATTTAACGTGAAACATTTTTAAAATTTAACGTTGTGATTGCGCCTCCGACAAAATTCTCGCTTTGGCAACGGTCGGCACACCTTTCTTCGGAGACACCGCGATTGTACATTGTATATATGTGTGTATATATATATATATATATATATATATATATATATATATATATATATATACACACATATATATATATATATTTTTTTTTTTGACTCCATAAAGCAAATCCTTGATAAGCTTACGAAATACGAAATAATAAACTTTCTCTCTCTCTCTCTCATTTCCCTCTGTCTCTTAATCGTATTAATTGCGCTAATTTGCTAAGATATTTGCTAAGTATACTGCTTTATACGACGTTCTCTCGTCGCTTGCGCGGAGACGAGTCGAAGACAAGTCGTAAATCGACCGTCTTACGCGTTCCAACCGATCTTTCCCTCTCTCTCTTTCTCTCATCTTTATTGATCCCACATGCGCATCACTAAGAATAGGTAATTACGCTACTTTCGCATTGTACTATGTTTATCAATAGTCGACCTGCAATTTCACTATATCCGCGACTACAATCGAAGAAGCTCATCGCTCTCACGCGAGGCATTCGAGTATTCTCAAGATGCCCAACGGCGTCGATGATCGAAACTCCTGCGTCGCTCGGCGAAATCTAAACGAAGAACGAGCGTTGAGTGGCATCGACAAGGCGTCGTTCTTCGTTTGTGCGAATAAAAGTGTCGACGTCTTCATCCTATCATCGTAATATCACTATCGTATTCGTCACCCTTCTGATAAAAACGTGCGTGTTTACTAGTTGAATGAGTGCTCTTCCGGGCGTCCGTAATCTTTTAAAATTACGTAATCTTTCAAATCTTTTAAAATTACAATCATGTGAAGTTGAGATACAATCAAAACAGTTGCAACTGAAATGGTTGTAACAGAAACCGTCAATTTTTCAACTACTGATTATTAATAATTTTCCGATTATTAATAATTTGTCAACTATTCTGATTATACCAAATCTTCGACAATTCAATTATATCGAACCTTTTCAATAACGCAATTCTGGAATTCTATTGTCAAGTCATTCTTCGCATTTTGCCGTCCATATTTACCACCGAATGCCATCATCCGCCTTTAGGTATTTATATCGAACGCGATATTTACGTCAAATGAATGAAATTCGGAATTGGATATCGTGCTTAGCATTAAACGTGACACTAAAAGGGGGGCTGCTGTTTGATCCAAGAAGATTCCTATGATCTTAGTGTCAGGCTAAAATGAAATTTAAAGTTGATACTTAGCGTTAGGCGCGCCATCGAGTGGGTCTGCTTGCAGATTCGCGATTACGCGAATGTTCACGAAGAGGGACTGAATGAAATTCGTTATCAAACGGCCGCGCTCAAGACTCGCATTTATATTCGAGAAGTGAGCTTCGCTTTATGTACACTGAGAAAAGAAAGTATGGTATCAGCGAGATTTTACTACATTTTTTAGTTTGATTAGACCAAACAAATTATATAATTGATGCGATGATCTATCCATAGATTCAGTGATTGCGATTTAGTCAGCAACTCTGTCAATGTATCACATTGCTGTGCCGATACATGAGTAATTTTTGCTCAGTGAATACAATATTTTTGTCGGCTCAACCGGTGTTTTTTTCTCATTGTAATCCAATCAACGTTGAATCAGCCTTCGTGAATCTTGTTTCTCGGAGCCAAGTGTCTATTCAAAGAGATACTAGGCTCTGTCCGGATCTGAAGCGTAAAACCTCGCCATCTTCCTCAAGCAGATCCACCGCTGCTTGTCATTAACCATCGTCCCGAATATTTCGACATGTTAGTCCTACAGTTAATTGTACGCTCTCCAGGTGTGTGCGGGTGTGCGTGTCAATCCGTGGGATTTGTTTGTATGTTATGTGTATGCGTATGTGTATGTGTGTGTGTGTTCTTCGAGATGCCCGCTGTCGACTGTGGCTTTATTATTCGTTGAGCACGCAGGTGCGGACCAAGGCGTCGCAGACGGAGTAAGGATCGCAGTTGCTGCTGGGCCTTCTGTCCTCTAGGTAGCCCTTCTTGTCCTCGGCGACGCCGCGCGGTATGCGGATGCTGACGTTGCGGTTGGCTACGCCGGCGCTGAAATCGTGGATGTTGCTGGTCTCGCATTTGCCGGTCAGCCTGCGCTCGTTGTCCTTTCCTCCACGCGGGTCGTACGCCTGGATGTGCCTGAGGTGTTGCTTGCTCAATTTGTCGATTGCCTTCTCGATCTCGGCGATGCCGTTCTCGGCACGCATCGGCTTCGTCGAAAAGTTGGCGTGGGCTCCGGCACCGTTCCATGAGCCGTCCACCGGCTTCGGGTCCAAGGTGACGATCACGCCGTACTCCTCAGCAATGCGGTGCAGGATGAATCGGGCGATCCACAGATCGTCGCCGGCGTTGATGCCCAAGCACGGCCCAACCTGGATCCATAATTAAAGAAAAATATGATAATAACTCATAGTAGATGGAAGCATTTATTCTTCTTTATATTTCAGACTTGCACGATACGGAGAAATGTTAGATTTACCGCGTTGGTGCAGCATTTTTCATGAATTTGTCTCTAACGTCTCGTGCGCTTCATCAAGGAGAGAAGAATAATTCTCAAGTTTGTATTAGATGCTTCTTTACTTGATAAACTAAAATATTCACAAAACAAATCTCTAAGAAAGGCGGCTCCAATGTGGAAGCCAAACCTAACATTCCTCCTTTCCGAAGAGGATATATTACTGCGCATAGATTATCCGTTTTCGGGCATATAAACCTTGAATTGAGCAAATTATGAATATGTACAAAGTCCGCGTAATTATATTTCTGTTGAAACAAGACTATCGAATTGGATTTCCGGCAAAACGAAGGTCGCGGATTAAACGATTAATTAAATGAAATCCCTTTCGCGGGAACGCTTCAGTCGCTCGTCACGACGACGCCGACTACTCACCTGGAACTCCCATTGTGAGGGCATCACCTCAGCGTTGGTCCCGGAGATCTTCACGCCGGCGTAAAGGCAGGCTCTGTAGTGGGCCTCGACTATCTCACGGCCGATAACTTTGTCAGCACCGACGCCACAATAATAGGGACCCTGTGGTCCGGGGAAGCCGTTTTTGGGCCAGCCAAGCGGCCTACCGTCGAAATCCAACAAAGTGTATTCCTGCTCGATGCCGAACCAAGGATCTTGCTCTTTGACCGCCTCCATCGCCTGATTAGCGCGATAACGTTTGTTCGTCTTCGTCGGGGTCTTGTCGCTGTAGTAAGTGTCGCAAAGCACGAGCTTGTTATTACCGCAACGGAACGGGTCTTTGTAGATCGCCACCGGATACAGGAATATGTCACTGTTGGCGCCGTCGGCCTGGTATGTCGAGCTGCCGTCGTACGTCCATGTCGGCAGGTCTGCAAGAAACAATCGGAGAACACATTAATCTCTGATCGATATTTCATTAGGAACTATCGGCAAGATGGAAAAATCATTCACTCTCCACACTTTGCGAAATTACAAGTCAATTGTTATCAGCCGAAACTGTTCGTAACTGTTCGAGGCGTGATCGCGTATAATTTTCTGATCCTCGATTATAATAACCCTAGTTTCACAGTTCATTGGCGTTATATTGGCCCAATATTGATTACATTGACAAATATTGACACACATTGATCTAATACAGCCAATATATGGCCAATATTATATTATTATAAATAAAATATGAATAAATTTTCAATATCGCACAATAATATTAGTACATGATTGTACTAATATTGGTGCATATTAGAGGTATATTGAGTCAATAGAACTTAGTATGTAGCCAATATTAATAATAAATAAATTACCAATATTAAAAATTTTATATTGACTATAACATGCAAAGTATTTGTTTTACAATATTGGGCTAATATTGGGTATATTGGAGCGCAATTTGTAGCCAATATTGCTCTAATGAACTGTGCTACTGAGGAAGGTGACCAAATGTCCCAATTTCGCCAAGGTAGTTCTGAATTTTCACCCTTTGTGCCGGGCTATTTCAAAGCCATTTGGGACACCAATTTTCTCCGCATTCAGCTGAGTTGTCACGGTTTATCCCAATTTTGAGAATATTTCAAAATTTAGCTTGGTGTGAGTGAACTGAATGTTAGTAACTGAGATAAATTATAATGAAACTTGTGTCGAATTTGTTAAGATATTTCTGATAAAAAGAAAGTTCCTCAAGAACATTAATTGCTCTGATAAATATTGCTATTTTGCCTTTTCTTAATTTTGAAATAAGCATGACAATAGTTTTATCTTGACGATAGTTTGTCTTTTACTGTGTATAATAAACTTTCACTGCAGTTGAATTATTTTTCATATATCCATGTAAATCAAAAATTGTCGACGATCCTTTTTTTACCCAAATATGAACTAGGAAATTTGGTCATCTTAATTATTAGCTTCTTAACAATTAGTCGTTAATTGTTTTACGAAGCGTAGTCTTCGAATTGAAATTTTGGTAAACATAGTTCTCACACTGTAAAGTTCTAAAATTCAAAAAGTAACAAATATGATATTTTTTGGATTATTTCTAAGACTTGATCGCGCGTTGATTACTTTTAATTTTACGCCATATTCTCTCAGGAAGAATGTATGAAATCTGAGTTAATGGAGAAATGAATATTTAGTGCAATTAGCATGATTAGTTGGCAAGTCCCGAACCAATTCCTGAAGAATGTATCGTCGGGGAATGCTGTCACGTGCCAAGGCGATGGATATTTCGTCATATTTCGGAATATTAGCCGCGGGAAATTTATTCCAATTACTTAAGTTGTTGACTACAAACGGAGTTCACTGCTCCCGGCAAGCTTCCATCTTCTGGTAGCGTATTGCGAGATTAGATAACATTATTTCATTGACACGAGTGTCGAGATAAACAACTTTTCGCAACTAGCACGTGGCTACGAATAGGCGTTTGAATATTCGCCATCATTTCATCATCGTTTTATTAGCAATGCGCATAAGTTAAAGCTCGCTTTGAGGGACAAAGAGGTTTTCTGAGGAAATCGAAATTGAAGGCGGCCTCTTATGGTTGAACGAAAATGCGAAATAAATTTAAGTAAAAATCTCGCGCGTCTTTCGAGATACATTTATATTCTGCGAATGATATTACTCTAAAAATAACATCTTACATTTGTCGGAATGTCATTGATACTCCATTAGGAATTATAGACGAGTTAGAAAGTCGTCTACTATTAACTTTGCGAAATTGTGAATTAATGCGCAAATAACATAAAAAAAGCAGATAAGACAAACACAAACACTTTTAAGACACGTCTAAGGCCGCTATTAATAGTCGTTACGTGAAACTTGTCTCTTATGAGATACTCAGATCGGAATTTAGAGTTAGATGTGAATTTTCCAGCTGAGGAATCACAGTTACAAATGTCAATATAATGTATGACATGTGATGCAACTAAAAAACTCAGATCTAGCTTGAAATTCCAATCTGAGCATCTTAAGTGAGACGAGTTTCAAGCAACAACTAATCAGTAAATGTCAAGTAAGAGTAACATTACATCAATGTTATAATTTCGTATTCAATAATGTAACTGTTACATACAACATGTGTTACATTGCACTTACATTGAGTGGAAAATTATCACATAAATGTAACGTTACTGCTACTTGATGTTTACTGGGTATTAACCTTCTGCGCTGTAACTCGTACTTAAACGTAGCAATTAAAGAATGCTGTAATAATTGCTTCCTTAAACATCTTATCATTATATATTTTTTACACCGTTATCTTATAGTATCTCTTGCAAAGGAACGAAATATATTCTGACGAAATATAAAAACTTGACTTTTTTGTCACTTTATCTCTTTACATACAGAATGATTTATCGTTCAATTAGAAAATTGGACTTCGCTGGAACATGCGACTATATAATTACGAGGCACTCTTGACACTTTATCGGCCGGAAGCCTATTAATAGACTTTTTAAAAATCATGACTGTGAAATCAGAAGCATTAGATCGGTGTAACAAATTTGTCACGTTGGTCAAGTAAAATGAGAAACAAAAATATTTAATTTCGAAGGGTTAATGACTTCTACGAATAAAATAAACGGCACTGTATTTTTTTAGACATCTAACGCGAGGACTTTCTATTTTTCTTTTAATATTCAAACTCCCTACGAGAATTAAATGTATTGAGAGAAAAAAATACCGAAAAAACAATAAATATTTATTCAATAAATGCTGATTGTGTATTTACCATAAAGAAAGAAACGTAGAGGTTGAAAATAAATGAACAAGTACAAACAGCCAATTTCTATTTATCCAATTTTCAGTCAATTTATTGTGACGAAATCTCAGCGCGGAGGATTAAAGACTTTTTAAAGACTTTTTTTGGAGGTTTGTACTGTTTGTCTTTAGTTGGAGTTTCGTCGAAGAGGCGCCGTCAATCAATTAAAAGTCATGCGCGACCGAACGACGACCTTCGCTCACCGGAAGGATGTTTCGGCACGAAGTCTAAGGTCCTGGTCTTGCAACGTAGTCCTTCGCCGGTACCGTCGATCCAGATGTATTTCGCCTGAATCAGATTGTCGGGTTGGGGAAGGTCGAGGTATTTCTTCAGCAGGGTTTTGTCTAACGCCGCGTTCGGCGAGTCCTTCAGCATAGAGCGCGACATCGTGGTGCTGCAACAGAGAGAGAGAAGAACGGACGATTGGCCATCGATCAAAACAACTTTCCACAGCCGGGACAATATGGAAAAACTCAAGCGTGCCCGTCGCTGCCGCAACCGCAGCTGCGGCACGGCCGCCTCTCGTCCTCGATCGGCGGCATGACGCGCGTGCCGCATCCACGGTGCAGCGCGGCGTCACACACAGGGAAACACAAGAGCTTTCGTTGTGCTAGTGCCGCGGAAAGATAGGTGCGCCCACACGGGGCTTCACGCGCGGAGCACGCGAACCGTGCGTGCTAGAGCGTTGGCACGGCCATTGGCGCCGGCCGGATAGATTTTCCTCTGAATCGCGCTGAAAAGCTCGAGAGCGGAGAAACTCAAACGGCGAATTCGCGAACGGCGAGCAATGAATTTCGGAGCAGTGGCGGGAGACTCGTGACATGGAACGTTCTTTGCAAATCTAAAATTACAACAGTTCCGCGTAGAAGAGAGAGAAAGAGAGGGAGGGGAGGAAGAGATAGGGAGAGAAAGAGAAAGAGAGGAACTTTCCCGCGTCCCGGAAAATAGATCCTTCTTCACTAGTATGATGAGAGTTTTTGTGTTGCGAGATAAAACGCTGTTCCGTGATTGCAAGAGATATAATTGAAGTTTCAATCTCCTTTCTCGCGGCAGGAAGCTTTCATCGATCACGCGTGCGCGTTTTGTCGTGAAATTGTCGTTAATATTTTCATGTTACCTGGTATCTTATCATTATATATTTTTAACACCGTTATCTAATAATATCTCTTGCAAAGGGATCTGACGAAATATAAAAACTTGACTTTTTTATCATTTTATCCCTTTATATACAGAATGATTTATCGTTCCATTAGAAAATTGGACTTCGCTGGAACATGCGACTGTGTAATTACGAGGCACTTTTGACACTTTACCGGCCGGAAGCCTATTAATAGACCTCTTAAAAATCATGACTGTGAAATCAGGAGCATTAGATCAGTGCAACGGATTTGTCATGTTGATCAAATAAAATAAAAAACAAAAATATTTAATTTCGAAGGATCAATGATTTCTACGAATAAAACGGTATTGTATTTTTTTAAACGAAGACTTTTTATTTTTCTGTTAATATTTAAACTTCCTACGAGAATTGAATGTATTGAGAGAAAAAAATACCGAAAAAAAACAATAAATATTTATTCGATGAATGCTAATTTTTTATATATTTACTTAAGTTCAAATTCTTTTACTTAAATAGAGTAAACAATTACTTCCATGAAAGGCTAAGATTTTAGGGAAATATATATTCTTTTATTTGAGAAACACTTTTCTAAACACTTTTCCTCTCACTGAAAGAAAAATACTGAACAATTTTTTATTTGATATAAAGTTCACATTCACAGAAATAAACTTCAGATTCCACAAATAAATTTCCGAGTATCTTTTTTTTCAATGTTCTAATAATGTAGAAATAGACTGTAAGTGAGATCTGTCTTGCTAAAGAATATAGTAAATTTTTTAATAGCACATTTCAGTTTCTAAGATATAAATAGCACATATGAATTGAAAAGATAGTCAATTACTGCAGAATGTCGATTTATTTTTCACGATTGCAAAATTCTACAATAAATTTTATTATAAAATTCCCTCTCCGCGCGCGTGTAGTATAGTATATTTTCCATTCGATCAAAATTAATTCCGTTGCTGCCGTATATTTTCCATCTACATTTTCAATCATTAATTAGTTCTCGCGAGAGACGCACTTTCAGTCACCCGCGACACTTTAACGTCACTTGAGGCGATTCCAAATTAAAGTTAAATTAGTTAAAAGATAAAATAAAGCAACGCATTCCGGATTCTGGGTTATCTTAAAAAATACTTTTGTGAAGACGTTAAGAATACATCACAAACAAATAGTCATGGAAAAATGAAACGAATTAATCAATCACGATAATAATAGAACGCGCGTTATCTATCGAAAACAGTTTCCGAGACGTGTGCCTTATCAGCACTAATCAAAGATAGTGTACGCGAAAGCAACACATTACGAGTTCGTGCATTCGATCACGATTAACGATTGTGTTACGTAATTGTCATGGTGAAGACAGTGCACAGAGCGAAGCATTCAGCCTTGCCGAGGCGAAAGTTGTTGAAAGTTGCCGAAAAATTTTCCGCTCGATTGCCCGTCTCTCATACTGTTTCGATCGCCTCCCTCTCTCGAAGCGACTTTATATGGCATCGTTTAACCTGCCGACTAGCTCGACGACAAATGTACACGGTGAATGAGAGTATTGTGATATTAAATTGACATTTTGTCGGCCGGTATCGCCGGCAGAAAAAGTTAACATTCTATAGATTGTACAGAATGAACTTAAATATCTATTAGTTTAATGCAAAAGATTTGTCGTCTTCTTACACTGCACATAGTAACATTGAGAAAAATTTACATGAAAAGGAAAAAAACTGTAATATTTCCTTTATACTTCCTATAGACAAAAAAATATATACTAAATTCAAGTAAATGTTATTTGTTTCAAGTATTTCATAAGTATATATATCAAGTATCTCATAAATATATTCAAATTTATTCAAGATACATTTTGAGTCTTAATAAGTTTAGCATTTTAATCAAGAAAATTGGATTAAAGCAAAATTCGGTTTGCTCGCCACATTCGAGTTTCTTCTTCGATAGAGTTTTATAATATTCTCGTAAAGAAAATAAATTCTTCTTTTTAGTACATGATAAAATGAGCTAATGATAACAATAAGATAAATTTGTGATGAGTATGTTTGAAGACTATATGTAAGATTTTGTTGAAGATAACCTCACTATTCAAAAGAAGTAAACTTGATAATCACTTTTTTTAACAGTGGAACGATATTTTTCTGCGCGCATCACTATATATATATATATATATATATATATATATATATATATATATATATATATATATAAATCACAAAAAAAACTAAACCAACACTAAAAAAAAGTAGAATGGTTTGCAAAAGCTACGCGGGATGTTATAATTTAATAATTTCTCGTAGAGAAATGTAATAATGCCGCAACCATCAATTTGCGTGACTCTTATTGGCAATTGTAATGTTTGTAATGATTAAAAACTTGAGTCTTGATATATAAATTTACTTCAAAAAACGCACTGATATCCTTCCTCAATTATTCCAAGGCATTTCACGGCTGATTATCCTCGTTAGTCGAGCATTAGAGATATCTCAATGATTCTATATACATACGCTCTCTAAAGTGTACAACTTAAATCAAACATATCTTTAGGCAAGTAAGAGCTTAAGGCAGATGTTGGGGCCAATACTTAAACCAAATGTTGGGAGAATAATAATCAATGATATCTCAGCGAAATTTGTAGCACAAAGTCAGCTACGAAGTCTGCTCGTTTTCGAAAAGCTTCTGAACTAATGCAATTGAAGTAAAAGAAAATACACTTGTTTCACCCTGATTTATTGCATTAATGCAGAAGTTCTTCGAAAACGAACGAAGACCTACGGATGTATCTCCAGCCGAGGCTTTGATCGCACGCGTCTGGCATACAGTTACGGAATTACACAGACGGAAAACCCTTTGGCTTTCGATTTGGAAAGAGCCGATAATATCGAGTCACGATGAGTGGTATCGGTTGGGCGATCAGTCAGTCGGGCATGTACGTCGAAAAGATATTTGCTCGCGTCACATCGAAATTACATAATTCACACCACGTTGGCGTTCGCGAACTTAGCGATAGAAGCGTGATCACGATAACTTCCCCGGCCCAACATCGCCAGAAGAATCGAAGTTCCTAGAAATCGACGATATACTTTATCTATCTTCATACTTCACCCCACACGCAACACTGTGTGTTGTTTGTCCGGAACATCTTGTTAACGGATTATATGAGGCTTGTCTGACAAGACAAAAATCGGAAAGTGCATCGCGGAGGTCGACCTCCGTGCTTCGTGATCGTGCAATCGAGAAGCGACTTTTGCGCAAATCACCATAACCGTTGAACCGAGAAGACAATTACGCCTTGACGAACGTTGACTCACTCGTGTCGCAATTGCGAGATGATTACGACCAATCGAAGGTCCGATTGCAATCGAGAGTCCGGCGAGTGGACACTTTTTCGTATGTTGGCCGGCCACAGGTTAATACTTCACGTCGACCTGGTATCGATTGATTCCTCAGTGTGCGATTTGTCGTGACAACTTACTGCAGGAAACGTGCAAATCGAGAGAGATTTCGAATCAAACATCTTTTTCTAATGCGAGAATTCTCGCAATTGCTTGCAATTTTACGCGATAAATTAGAACCTTGAATTGAAGCCGCGTAATGATCACGAATTATCATTCTTATGTTGTAATTACACTGATAGCAAAAATATCCAAAATATAAAAAGTATTTCTTATTCGACAAATATTTGAAATTACACTAAGAGAAGAAAATATTTAGAAATTATTTGCGGGATATAAAATTTATTTGCAGAGATAAACTTTGTTACACAGAAATAAACTTTATATCCTACAAATAAATATTTAAGTAATTTTTCTCCGTATAAATAAATATGTTATTATAATAACAATTTGGAAGATATTCCGGACAAACAACACACAATGAAGATAGATAAAGTATATCGTCGATTTCTAGGAACTCAGCTTCTGGTGATGTTGGGCCGAGGAAATTATCGCGTGTACTGTATATGGATATTATAGTACCCATCGAATAAATATTTTTTTATTTGTCAATGGTCAATGTAGATGCCTAAACGCGGACGATATTATTGCGATTCCAATAGAAATGGAACAAGAATGACTTATAGAGTTTGGCGCGCAGACTGTGGAAGATCGTGGTATCGAAATCTACCATTCCGCGACAGGAATAAGGAAAAGGTCGCGCCATCAGATCCCTCGATGAGGGGAAGAGTCTGTTTCCCATGACTCTCGTACTCGGACACTTGAGTTTTCGTTTATAATTCAATGCGTAGTCCGGAGAATAAAGAAGGATGAAAA